AACAAAGCAAATGGTCCCAAAGAGGTGTTAGCTGCTGCTGAATGGGCTGGAGAGGGAGGAAGGAAATATGTGGTAATTAGAGGATATTGATCCATTGGGAGACAAATGCAAACAAGTGGAAAATGTTACAAGCCCAGACACTTCTCCCCTTTACCTGTATGAGCAGCCAGTTGCCACTGATATGTGTTACAGCAAGAATGCTTACATGGAAAATAAGAGGGATTCATTAATTCTCTATCTATTTTTCTGATTTTTTCCTGGTTTTAACTGTTCTCTTTTTCTAGTCCCAGTGGCTCCCTAAGCAGATTCCAAGGTATCAGTAGAGATCTGACACTACTTATGTCTCTCTTAATGAGCCCATTGATTAAGTAATCCAGCAAACAGCATCTCTCCCATTTCCTGGTACTGTAATACACTGAAGAGTTTGACTGTGCAGTAGCACACCTCATCATGTAAAAAGAAACTGTATTCAAAGTAACTTTTCTGGTAGTGGGCCTGTTTTCCCTATGGACATGTTATTGCTCTGGGCCTCCCTTCACTCATCCTTAAATTCTAGATCCTGGCAAGGTACTTGTCTATTGCTTTCTAAAAGCTTGCTGACTTTCTCCCATTACCAGCTGGAGCCTAGATGCAGGCATTGTGCCAGCCAAAGTCTTGCAATTCACGTTCTGTGATTTAGATTCACTGCTTATCACTAAGAGGATCTACAAGTTTTAAATTGATGTAGCATCTTTGAGCCCCATGAATTATATATGCGTATATACCATTAACAGTGGCACTCAATGGTCTTCAAGGTCTTTTCTGACCTGAACAATTCTATGAGCCTACAGTATATGTGATGGGTGAAATACAACCATAGAGAATGCTAACCAAAAAAATGGTAAAGAAATTCAGCAAAAACCAGGCAGTTTTCTGTCAGTTTTCTGGCTTAAAACTGAGCATGTCCTGCTCATGTTGGGAGGCCTGCTCCTGACTCTCTGGAGCCACTGAAGCTGGACAGGAATGAAGCATGAAGCGAAAAACTCCTGCAGAGATGTTCAAGCGCTCTGTCCTGTCACTCTGTGCCCACTGCTCCCATTCAGCACGTGAGGCAGCCGTGAAATACCAAAAACTGGGGCTTCTGTCAAAATGAGGTACAAGATGGCTTGCTACCTGTCACTCCCATCACTTACTCATACATGATGAAACCTAGGATGTTATTCAGTATTCATTCTGTGCCACAGACTGCAGTCTTTGTGGCAAGTGAGGGCATCTGCCTGGTGCAATGACGGGGGAGAAAGCAGGGTGAGGCTCTGCAGCTGGTTTGTAATTACCACCCATCCTGCTCTTCCACCTGATGGCTCCAGCTGCAGGGGTGTCCCTGCGGCTCTGCTGCTCCATAGGGATTGAGCCTGGGGCAGGACGGTGGCGCCTGTGGGTCACTGGACAAGGCACCATGGTCACAAATGAGCAAAGCCCTGGCTTCCTGAGGATCACAGCACAGATCAGTGGTGGAGCCAAGGGTGAGAGCCGGACCAGCAGTCTGTGACAGTAACCTATAATAAGCAGCCCAAAATAGCTTTAGGGTATGTCCAGGAAACAAGGAGAGGACAGTCTTCACTACCAAGTCCTTAATCGCTATTAAAAAATGTACACGTACAGATGCTACTTTTTTTATATTACCCTTTCTTGAATAATTTTTAATACAGTGTTTCTTGTCTGGTTTTCTTCAATCACACTCAACCTAAACATGAAGAAAAAAATCCACCTTGGAGAGCAGACCCTCTTTGATATCCCCTTCAGCTAGAATAAAACCTGCTGGTGTGGCCGTGCCATGCAGCTCAGCATGGGAGCTCTTCCGCCAGATCAGATGCCCCTCGGGCTAAGCCAGGTCGGGGGAATGCAGCAGGAGCAGCTCTCCCATCAACAGTGGCTCAGCTGCCCCTCGTCTGCATGTCATCAAGAGCTCCCTGCTGGCTCCCAGTCTCTCTGTGCTTTTAAATTAGAGCTCCTCATTTGTTTTCGCTTTGCAAGGTGTCTGCCAGTCGTTCTTCCCCCTTGCTAAGCATGCAGAGTTATGACATTTTTCACTGTCAGAAGCAGTCTTCCATTTCAGACCTACAGAGATGAAGGGAAGCCATCAAGAAATCCCTGCCATAATTCAGGGGACTGAAAAACATGTCATAAGTTCATGATGAATTCATAGATGTCTTCAGGTTAAAACAAAAGGATAAAAGAAAAAAAAAGGGACTATTTCATTTGTCACTTTCAGAATTCAGTGCTTTACTATTTCCGTTTTGGAATGACTATCCATTTCCAGAGGTATTTCAAAATTATTTAAATGATGTTTTTTAAAGTACAAAAAGTATCAAAACCAAATTTATAGAAAAAATTCAATTTGTCAAAACATTTCCCAAGTACTAATTTCAGGTTGACTTCAAATTGCTTTCCTCCATTAAGAGTTGGGTTTTAAGATGGCTGATAAACAAGCTGAAAGTCCAATCTTTCTGTCATAGCCACAAATATTGACACAAAAAGAAAGAAGATACAAAAAGTTGTCTGTTCCATACAGCTTTGGAGCATTAAGTCTCCTCTCTTCTGCCTTTGGTATCTCTGAGTCTCCTTCCATTGCACCCAGTGCTCGTAAGAAGAACTGGTGAAATACAGAGGATTGGTGAAATGTAGCAAAGCACCAGGATGAAAGTGCAAAAACTGGGAATTTCAGTCATGTGGCCAAGGCTTACTTGTTAGCATTTTTATCCATTTTTTTCCCAAGATACATGATCAGGGCTTGCTCTTTCAAATTTCAAAAGCATGCCTGGCTCTTTGTATTTGCATTTTCTCAAGAGCTTTTGTTATTCTCTCTTTTATCAAGTTACCTTCATCTGTGTAAAGAGCAGAAATATGACCAAGTAATGAGGAAACTCATGACATGGTACAACTTATGGAGGTACAGTCAAGGTGAGGAACCTGCACCTCTGGGTCAAGATTTTGGTCTGCCTCCTGTATCTGTGGCTTCTGGGTGCTGGGCACGTTTACAAACTGTACTCTGTAAAATGTAACTCATTCCTCCTCCTCCAACCAATATCTTGGCTTTTGCCTCATCTGTCCTTTCCTCTGTCTCTGGCAGAAGGCAGAAGAGACCTGTAAGTTGAATGATGTGCTCACTCGTATTGCTCTTATTGAACACTTCTAATTCTGAATGCAAATGGCACTTTTATACATGAACAGGACTAAATTCACTGGATAAATTATTCACAACAGATAATTCAACCTGCTCTCATGGGAGAGTGCGATGAATGTCTGATGATCTTAAAAAAACACCCAAACCCACAACTAATTCTTCCAGCCAGTGAAGTCAATGGCAAAGCCTTTTACTGACTTCAAAGGGAGCTCCGTGCCAGTGGGCCCACACACGACTTCTCTTTAGTGGTACTCACTTGTATTTATAGCTTAAACCCAGACAAGTGCCTCTGTTTTGAGGAGCCCAGACTAGTGTGTATGGCACATCTGGGCTGCGAGGGCACAGGCAGTATTGCAGCTCTGGGTGAAAGCAGGTCTGCTCTGCTGCACTGGTGCAGAGCACTGCCCCAAGCTCTGCACCCAAGCTCTGGGAAATCACCCACCTGTGAGTTTAGCTAGTCTGGAGCTTAGGGCCACTTATTTTGGCCAGGGTTATCTAGTTTAGAGAAAATGAGACTGAGCGATGACATCTGTTATCTGCAGCATCCTGAGAAGGGGAAAGGGAGGTGTTGAGCTCTTTTCCCTGGTATCCAGTGACAGGATGCATGGGAATGATTCAAAGCTGCACCGGGGGAGGTTCAGACTGGACATTAGGAAGCATTTCTTTACTGAGAGGGTGGAAAACAAGCAGGCTTTCTAAAAGAGGTGGTTGATGCCCCAAGTCTGTCAGTGTTTAAGAGGCATTTGGACAATACTCCTAATAACGTTCTTTAAGCTGTTAGGTCAGGCAGTTGGGCCGGATGATCGCTTTAGGTTCCTCCCAACTGCTCTGTTCTGCTCTCTTCTATTCTGTTCTATTCTCACCTGGGATAGATTTGCAGCCAGTTAGGAATTTCGTGGTCAGGGTGACATCAGCCGCCCTGATGCGACTGGACGGCTGGCCATCATCCGGGTGGCAATTCGACATGGACAGGATTTGGGTGCCATGGTTGTGCACAGTGGATGCAGGGGCTGGGGAAAGGTTTGTGTGGGGGCTGCCACCGTGCTCCTCCTCCATGGCAGGGGAGGCGACTGGGGAGAAGGCTGGGCTGTGCCCCAGCTTGTACCACTGCTCCCCTCTGGTCGGCAGTGGGCACGTGTGGCCCTGGGCACTGCGGAGAAAGAGGGACGCGGGGACGGTGGGAGTCGTCCTGGTGAGATGGGAGATGGGAATTCTCCCCCAAGGAGAGGGGAGAGAATTTAACATCCTTTTTTCTTCTGCCCCCGGGAGTATTTACGTACCGGGTTCGGTCCGTATGTCCCATTTTCCCAGCCGTCTGTCCCTGCCGTGTGGTGCACTGGCAGCTGCAGACCGCCACCACCCCCAGCGACCCCGGGCCCCGCTTTCTGTCGGTGCTGCGAGCGCTTCGCCGCATCCCCCAGCCCACGCGATGCCCGCGGTCCGTAGCGCGCTGCGACCGGGTGCCGGCAGGACACGGCGGCGACGCAAAAACGCTCTCACGAATAAAAGCCGGGCTCTGCCCGCCGGGGCGCGGCGCTCTCCCGGGGCACCCGAGAGCCCGGCCGTGCGTGGGCGAGGCGGCGCGGGGCGGCGGGCGGTGGGCAGGGGCCGAGTTATGTAAGGGCGGCGGGGCGGGCGGCGCTGCGGCGGCGCGGGGCGGCTCGGAACGGGCGGCGGCGGCGGGGGGAAAGCGGCTTATCCCCCTCCTTCCCTGCCTCCGCCGGGTTGCCATGGAGACGGGCGGGCGGCGGCGGCTGGGCTGTCACTGAGGGATCGCACCGCGCTCCGCGGCGGACGGAAAGCCGCGGCGGCCGCGGCAGCAGCGGCAGAGGCAGAAATGGACTCGCACTGCGACTGTGCCGAGCCCCCGGCCGCCGAGCAGCCGTCGGGGAGGATTAACAAAACCGCCTTCAAGCTTTTCAGGAGGAGGAAGGCCGGGGCAACCATGCCGAGCATCTTCGGGGTGCGGAGCAGAGGCGGGGAGGGGAAGGGCGCCGCAAAGCCGGGGATGGTGCGGAGCCGGACGCACGACGGCTTGGCCGACGCCGTGCTGGAGAGCAGCAAGAAGGAGGAACCGGGCGGCGGCGAGCCGCAGAGCCGCGAGGCGCAGGAGCGGCCGGCCGGCAGCCTCGGCGGCCCCGCCGGCAGCGCGGTGGCCAAGTCGCACAGCTTCTTCTCGCTGCTGAGGAAGAACGGCCGGCAGGCGGAGGGCGCGGAGCCGCGGGCCGGCGGCAGACAAAAGAGAGGGCTGAAGGGGATCTTCAGCAGCATGCGGTGGCACAAAAAGGACAAAATCGGCAAGGAGGAGAGGGGCGAAACCTCGGACATCCCGTCCGGCCTTATCATGCCGGGGTCCCTGACCGCCAGCCTGGAGTGCATCAAGGAGGAGACGCCGAAACCTTTGTCTGAGAGCCCGAGCGGCGCGGGAGACGCCGGGCCGGAGGCGCCGCTGGAGAAGCGCAGCGGCGAGGCGCCCGCCGCGGCCGAGGAGCCCGGAGCGGGCGGCGCGGAGCCGCGGGCCAGCAGCCCCCCGGCCCGGGAGGAGCCGCCCGCCGCCGTGCGGCCACCCGAGGAGCTCAGCCGAGAGCGACCGGAGCCGGCCGCCGGAGAGGTTGGGACTGCGAAGGATGCGGCGATAACAGGTGACATTCCAATAACGACTATCCCCCCTGTTGAACCTCACTGTGATAGCGGTCAAGAGACGGCAGCCGCCCCTGACCCTTCCTCTGTTGATCCACCCTCAGAGCAATCGATTGATCGTATTTGTTTGATGTTTGCTGACGTGACTTCACTGAAAAGCTTTGACTCTCTTACAGGCTGCGGAGATATTATTGCGGACCATGAGGAGGATGTGGGCGGCGGGAGTGGCGTCTGCGAGAAGAGCACCCCCGGCCCCAGCAAGCTGGGTGCCACCAAGAAGCACCCCACCATGGTGGCCTACCAGGGAGGAGGGGAGGAGATGGCCAGCCCCGACCAGGTGGATGACACCTGCCTGCAGGAGTTCTGGGATATGCTGTCACAAACAGACGAGACTCAGACACAAGCGGGAGGAAGCGGAGGAGGGACAAAGAAGCCCGAGGGGCTGAAGGAAACCCGAGGTACCGAGGGGGCCCAGAACAGGGTGGTGGTGAAACGTGGTGGTCTCCACCAGATTGCCATTCACCTGAACCACAAAGAGGAGCAGAAGAGCAGGGAAAAGGAGCAGCACGAGGGCATCCCAAACAGCGATGAGGGCTACTGGGATTCCAGCACCCCTGGACACGAGGAAGATAGTTCCACAAGCATCCAGAAGGAAACCCTTCCCAGGGATAGCTACAGTGGGGATGCTCTCTATGACCTTTATGCTGAGCCGGATGAGAACCCACCAGCAGGGCCTGCAAACGAGGAAGTCCCCAGTGTGCCACGCTCCAAGCCTGTGTCTCCGATAACGACCGTGAGCTCACTGAAAACACCCTCAAGCACAGCGAAGGACTCCAAGATACCCATCAGCATTAAACACCTTTCATCTCATCCCGCCAGCCATGGAGCAGATGCCAGTAACAGCCATCATGTTGCACACCATCACCTGACCAAAAGTGAGATGCACAGAACAAAAATCCCCGTCTCCAAAGTCCTGGTACGCCGGGTCAGTAACAGGGGCGTAGCAGGGACAACGGTGAAAGCTGCCATGCACCAGGACAGTGCCAAAAAGTAGCTGGGTAAGAGGTGGAGACAGAGAGCAAAGTCCGTGTGGGAAAGTCTGCATAGGAGACCACAGATAATGAATCCGTTTTGCATCACCTGAAGAAAGTCACCTAAAAGGCTTCCTTCACTGTACTCCGTGGGCCTGCTCTCCTGAGTCTCTTCTTACTGGACTGTATGGCTGAATAGAAAAAGTCAACTTCTTTTTGAGCACTTTTTTTTACATTTGTATCTTTTTTCTGCAACACTAAACACTGGGGAGGTTCATTTTTACATGCCTTTCTGGAAGCAGGACTTGGATTATGACCATCCTTCCTCGTGCAAAGCAGTGTCATGAGTTCTTCAAGGGAGCAGAGTCACAAAAGGGGCGACATGAGAGGTTCTCCAATACACTTACCTTCTAATCCTTTCTCGGGGAGGAGTAGAGGCTGGGTGCCTGGCTTGCTCTGGAAATGATGTTTGCTCTGCAAGATGTTGGAAAAAATGCCAAGCAGAAAACAACCCACCTAACAGGTATTTTACCTGCTGTAGGAACGAGAACACTGCTCAGCAGCAGACTTGATTGACTTGTGTGCAGGAGATAAAACTAAGGAGTTAGGTGGACTCGTCTAACAGGAAAACATATTTTCGTTTGTCTGTCTGTCTGGTTGGTTTTGATCTGGTCTAATGTAAATGGGTAACAGAGACACCTGACATAGGTTCAGATGTTTACATCAATACTTGTCCGATAATGCATACAATCAGGTTCAGGGAAACATTTTACTAAATGCCAATATATACACACTGTCCACATTTATACAATAACTTGCTCGCCATGTGTAAATATATACGTGTTTTAGCAGATTTTTTATATTAAAAAAAAATCACCTGTCCTTATTATCTAGAGTTTAAGCAAGAGTTAGTTTTTATAGGTAGATGATTTTACAGTTCTAAAAAGGATAGAACTTTGTGTAAGTACCTTAAATTAGAGAAATGGTTTGTATGGGCTCATGCATCCCCAGATAAGTAAGTCTGAAGTGCTGATTTTATCCCAGTGGCACATTCCATGGCTCAGAGCTGATGTTCTGACAGCACTGCCACTGCAAACCTCTATTTTCAGGGGTTTAGACAAAGTTGCTCTGGGCTTAAACCTTACCGAGAAGGAACCCAGCAAAGAAACATGTTTTTTAAGTATTATTTTTTAAAATATATAAAATTAGTTTTTGACTATTTAAAGAAAGATTGGGTTCTCATTGCTTTTTATTTTCATTTTCAATAATGTCAGAATAATTTTACTTTAAGAGAGAAAAAAATATGGTAAGCTAATGATACATAAAATGATCTGATGAGCTTGGATCTTAGGAGAAATGTATTAATGGCCATGGCATTTTTGAATAGTGGCTACTGTACATGGGCATTGGCAACATTTCAAAGAAATATAATAGGGTTTTAATGTGCCTGAGGACATATTTTTATGATACACTGAAAAAGCTCTAAAAATCACTGAAGTCTAAAGGTAAATGTTATGTATTTACAAAATATTTTGATATAAGTATTTAATCATCAGACCACAGTTAATATAAAATATATGCTCCAGTGTATCTAAAAAAATAATTTACATTTTAAAAATATACATGTCTATATTATGCAGAGAATCCTAAATTCACATCACTGAAACTAATGGGTCTGATCTTACATAGCAGTTGGTTTTATTGTCTCTTAAATCAAAAGAAAATGAAAGGAAAATAAATATACAGAATATACATTTGAAGGATATTAAGGTTGTAGGCAAACCATAAAAAGCCAGGAAATACCATAAGAAGGATTGTATATATGTATATGCATGATTCGTGGTTCACTGGGGAAATGACCTTTAAAGTCATGAAGGTCAAACTGACATCCAGTTCTGAAATTGCTGCAGAATTTAATACCAAGTTGCAGCATCCCAGTGAAAGTGTTAGTTTCCCTGACTAGCCCGTTTTCATGGTTTAAGAACCTTAATACACTTCGAAGAGGATTATTTTATGTTTTCTTCCTGACATGTACATGTGTGGTTCCCCATGTGCCCACTCACACCTGTGTGTTGTACATATGCATGTGCAGCGAGCACGCAGCTCCTGGCAGGGTCCCTGCGCCAGCCGAGGCGCTCCCCGCGCACACTCACACTCGTGTGAGCCCTCCCACACACAGCCCGGGGGCTGTGCTCCTGATCTGCCTCCAAACACCGTGCTTTCCTTTGCCTGAGAAAGGGATTTGCATTTGGTCTGACTCAACTAGTGCATTTTAGAAAGTCAAAGCTGAAACACCCTCAAAAGGTTGTATGCAGAACACGGAATATTATCCTGCTCCTCAGCCCTAAACATGACATTCCTTTTCCCCTTCTTTTGTTTTTGCTTGACTGTAAGGGGTGCATCTTTCCTTGCATGACAACTCTGCAGAAGGATCATAATTCCCCATTTTGTTCTAAGGACAAATTGTGCTGAGAGGTTCTATAAGGTACTGGAAGTTGAGAGGGAGGGAGGATGTGGCGGTAGTACCATAAAAACTGGAAGCGCCGAGTGCAGGCAGTAGCAGTGGTGCATCTTTAAACCCACTAGAGATACCAGCTGCCATCTCTTCAGGACTTGTGTGTGTCAAATTATTCATCATATGTGTTTTGTTTGCATTGTGGCATGTCTGTATTGAGAAACCAATAGTGTGACACTAGACTAACTCCCTCTCACGTAACCACTAACACGAATCATCATTAAAATGCTTTGGCTTCCCTTCATTCTTCTCTCTCTCCTTTGTTTTCTGCCACGTTTTCCCCTCCATCCTCTACATGGTGGTGGGCAGCCTCCTCCTCGGTGCTAACCCCTGGAGTGAGGAGCCCTGGGCTGGAGCGTGGCTGGGAGCACACCTGTCCAGCCAGGTGCTCTGCAGCCACTCCCTCAAGCTTTCTGTCACATACCCACTGTAAGTACTTTTTGGAAATCTCTTGGCGGTTTGTTTGGCTGCCTGCTATGTGCATATTTTAAGGACAATCATATCCTTAAAAGGAAAATGGGAAAGTAGCTGGTAGTAGGGCGTCAGTATTTTGAATTATTGCGACATGCTGACGTTGATTCAGGGTAACGGTTGTATGAGAGTAAAGATACAATTTAATGTTCAAATTAACTTTGTACTTCTAAAATTCACTTTTGTCTTTAAGCCATCTATGTTTTTTATTTCAAAAGGTAATAGAAGATCTAATATTTACTAAGGTTTTCAATTTTCATACAAATATATTTGTATAATTCCACACAATGCCTAAAACAATCATTGAAAGGAGGTTCAAAGGCTTTCTTTAGACCTATATATAATCCCTGAAAGATCCCTGTAAAATACTGTGAGACGCCTAAGAACAAACAGTTAATAGCTTGCTGGATTTAAAGGCTGAGACATAAAGAGGTAATAGTCCTGAGGCATTCTATGGTAGCTTGCATTCTATTTATGTTACCCTGTTAAAGCATATATTTTCCTTGGCTTTGGTAGGTATTGAGGTAGAAATGGTGTTCTGAGTCCCAAAGATAACATTCCCAATGGTGTCATTGTTTTGATTTCCTTAAAGTATATTTTTCTTTATTTGTTTCATTTGTTATTTGGTGGTCTGAATGATGCTTTGTAATTATCAGCTGTATGTCATTCATAAAGGATTTTATAGATCAGGACTTGAAATTTAGTTACGTGTACTCTTTGCACTTTCAGGTCCCTACTGGTAAATTTTGTATGTTCTTAGAATTTTTCTATATATTGCATAGTGTTTTATAGCTATCTGCAGTGATTTCAGTGGTATACACTCCTGTCCTTTATATCAGAACAAAAGATTTCCTTTCAGTAGCATGAAATTATGTTTTTGTGGACTTGTTTTGTCACGATAGGAGCTAAGTTTCCTGTACTAAATGTGTGGCCTGCAACATACATAAAAGGTCTTATTTTCCATGTAGTGCATATGTATTTTGCTCTTGCCAGTAATAGGACTCAAACATTTGTAGTAGATTTCAGAGGAAATTCCATGACTAGAGTAAGAAAAAGCTATGTTCAGTCTTATTCCATCAATAACCAGCATTTTCTTCATCCACTGTGAATATCCTCACCGCCGTTCAGGGTAGTAGAGGACTGAATTTTCACAAGTACGTGCATAGATGTACACTATGAAAATTACTTCACTGATTATTTTTTAATGAATTTTACTAAATTATTTATCTAAGCTAAGTGAATATTGCACCAAAGTCTTAAAATATCTGATACAGACAGCATTTTTAGTAAGATGCTATGAGTGCAGATGAGCCAAATTAACAGGCTTTGCTTAGCAAAGCAAAACCTTGCTGTTTCTTAAATTTGTAGGACTGACTGAGCTTGCAGATCAAAGGGAGCCATTGAATCTGCTGTGGCTATGCACTGAGGTTTTTCTTTCCCTGCTCTAATGGACTACTTTCAGAAAAGGCCTTTCAGGAAGATAATGGTATGAAAGGGACAGATCACAGTAACAATAGCCACTTACAAGACAGATGGTTATCCAACAGCAGCAATGGGGGGATGCCAGGCAAGGTGGCCTGGAAATGTGTTTTCATAGTTACTGATATGAAAGGCTGGGGCTTCTGTCTTGGAAAAAAAAAAATGACACCAACTTAAAGACAATGCAGAAATGAGTCTTGGCAGAGTTCACACATGACAGCTTCTGCAGGGTTTGTTTTTGGTTTTCATTTTGTCCTTTCTCTCCAACCCCTTTGTTTATGTTTTTATTATGGTGACATAACCCCACGTGTCCGAGCAGAACTGCACAACAGCTGACTCTTCTGAGATTCAGTGCTAAGAATACACTGTCAGTTGTCCCCGGTGGCCTGGGACTGGGTCCTGCTGAACATCCCTCCCTTCCACTGAGGGCTGGGAGGGCTGGGATGATAGGATTCCCTTGTCCTGAGTCCACATGCTGTTTACTGTAAGCAGGAGGCATCTCAGTCTGTCTTGCTGTTTGTTTTCAGGGAACAATTTATTTTTAATTTAACTCACAGGAATTTTTTACTCATCATTAGTTCGTATCTTGTCTTCCTTGTAAGCATCTCGGGTAGGAACATTCAGCACTGATTTGGTGTTTCCTAGGTCCATTTCATGTAGAGAGAAATGGAAGAACTTGTCATATGCAAAGGAATGATAGCTATAACCACTCGAGCCACATCATGGGGGCCTTGATTCCTGCAAAAGCAGGTTAAAACTCTTCTTGCCTTAGAAGG